ATTCTTTTCTCTCTCTAAAATTCTTCATGGTATCAAAGCATCACCGATCTTCTCGGTCTTCTATCTTGAAATAGTTTCTCTCAATCCGACGCAGGTAGAAACCTCCTCCTTTTTTATTTTTTATTTTTTTATTTTTTTATTTCTAGATGGTTGGCGTTACAACATTAAAGGAGCTCCATAATATCCAACGTTACTGGATTTTGCAACAACAAGAGATCGTTAATAGCATTTCATAAAACTTGAAGATAAAGAAACCCATCTATTCTTGTCCAATACTTCATATGTCCATCTTAGGTTTTCTATCTTTCTCATATTTGTCAAAGCCATTCACAATTGTTTTTATTTTATTTTAGTTTCCCCACTACTTTTTCACATCCCCAATATCCATCTAAAAGTACTCACCACTCTCACATTCTTTATATCCATCGAAACCCACTATCTCTTCCCCTCATAAAATCTCTAAGGCCACCCTTTATCTTTCTCTCTCTAAATCCATAAGGCTAGAGATCCGTATTTGATCTTAGCGATCGAATGGGTACTCTATCCTCAATAGAAAACTATATCCTCAATAGCAAACTATCTCTATCCCTCGACCCTTAACATAGGAAATTTGGTGTCAATTAAATTAACACAGAAGAACTATCTATTATGGGAAACCCAAATACTATCATTGATTGAGAGTCAGCAACTTTTTGGATTTATTACAGGTGATTACCCTACATCAAGTCAAAATATTTCCTCTCCTGGTGGTAAAAGTGAAATAAAAAACCCAGATTACAAATTATGGCTAAAGTTCAATATGTTTCTTAAAGCCTGGATCACAGGGACACTATCAAAAGAGTGTCTCAGTCTTGTGGTTGGCCTTAAGACTTCTACAAAAGTATCGAAAGTTTTGAAGGATGCTTATGTAGGTAATTCTCAAGCTAGGGAGTTCCAACTTACTCAACAACTTCAACTATATAAGAAAGGAAATTCAATATTCTCAAAATATATATGTAAATTCAAGAATATTTATTATGATTTAGCGGCCATTGGAAAACCTGTACCATATGAAAATAAGGTATTTTGGCTTTTTAATGGAGTTAGTCCAAAATATAAAAGTTTTGCTACCACTATGCTTAAAGCATTTGATTCCTTCCTATTTTGAAATTATACTTCTTCAAAGCCATGAGATTAGAAATCAGCCTCATGTCTTTGAAGAATACCTATGCCCAAATCAGAATATGGCTTTTACTGGACAACATAGAAATTTTAGACTTAACAGAGGTACTAAAATTTACAGAGGTAGAGGCATGCACAACTTTGGTGGTCAACTAGTTTTCAACTCTCTGGGGCATCGATTTACTCAAGCATGCCAGACCAATAATAGGGGACGTGGTGTGCCTCAAAGAAACCAAGAAAATAGTGGTATACCTATGCAACATGTGAATCAAATATTCTAACAAGATTCAACATGGATTTACTCAAGCATTCCAGACCAATAATAGGGGACGTGGTGTGCCTCAAAGAAACCAAGAAAATAGTGGTATACCTATGCAACATGTGAATCAAATATTCTAACAAGATTCACAGATATAGCAATCAGCTCAGACACCCCAGAAAAAGTGTCAAATTTGTAAAAAATTTAGATATACTGCATTAAAGTGTTGGCACCAATTCAATTATATATACCAAAAAAAATTCCTCTTGTTGCAATGACTACCAAATTTTTAAGACTCAAAATGGTTCCCAGACACTGGTGCATCAACTCATATAACATAAGACCTAGGTAAACTGCAAAACCTTCGCCCTCATGGTTAGCAATGGTGAACAATTGACTATTTCACATGGTGGTGGTGCAAATATCGATGTTGGGTGTGATAGAATTAATATTTCTAATGTTCTTTTTGTGTCAAAGGTGGAAAAGAATTTACAATTTGTTAGTCAGTTTTCAAAAGATTTTCCTTGTATATTTTAGTTCTCATCAAATAGATTTTGGATTAAGAAAATGAGCACGGGGAGAACTCTAGCCAGCAAGAATAGAAAGGGCGAACTTCATGTACTTGAGGATGTGAAGGAACCGTTCTAACTGAAATAAGAAAACATCAAAAGACATGTAGCATCAACGAATCGGACATTCTCAAAATAAAGTAGTTCATTACGTAGAATATTTACAATTGATTAATGTTGATGCATGAAATAAATCTCATTATGTTTGTGCTAGTTGTTAGATGGGAAAAATTTTAAACTCTTGTTTAGTAGTACTGATAAGACCTTTACAAAACCTATTTTTAAGATTCATTTAGATTTATGGGGTCCTACTCCAATTTATCTAATCAGAGTTATCGCTTTTATGTGGTTTGTGGATGATTACACTCGATTTTTTTGGATTTATCATTTGAAAAGAAAATCTAAAATTTTCTCTGCATTTGTGAAATTTCGTCGTGTGGTTGAAAGGAGATTTGAGAAAAGAATTTGAATTTTTCAATGTAATGGGGGTGGTGAGTATGCTAAGAAAGAATTCATTGCTCATCTTATTGAGAATGGAATTATGCAACAAATATCATGTCTGGGAACCCCTAAACAACATAGAATAGCTGAAAGGAAATATATAAATATTATAGAATTGGGTCTTACAATGTTGTTTTATGTTGGAATTCCTAAATGGTTTTGGGTTGAAGCTTTTCATACTGCAGGCATTCTAATAAACAAGATTCCCTCAATCAATTTACGAATGGATTCACCATATTCTTTGTTATTTGGCTGCGTATCAGACTATTCTTCACTCCGGATTTTTGGTTGTCGGTGTTTTTCATACCTCGAGGCTATGCTACAAATCAGTGGTTTAAAAAACGGATCGGTGACCTGGATCGGGCATCCCAAAAATTGATCTGGATCGTCGAATCGGTGATCCGGATTAGGAATCGGGCCGAATAGCTCAAATTAAGCGTTAAAAAAATTCAAAAAAATTATTAAAATTCATTATAAATGTTGTTGTTTAGGAATCCAATAAGAAATGGGGGTACTACATTATTAACTTTCATTGTTTTCATTTATGAATATTGAAATGTTCTTTCCCTATATGAACTTATGTTGACCATTAAATTTACGGAACACAAAAGAAATTGTAAAATTATCATGGATTAAGTATATAACCATATATAGACTACAATAAAGAGTTACCTAAATCGATGAAAAATTGGCCACTAAAACCCTAATCCGCTAAAAAAAACCAAATTATTACAACCTAACTAACTGTAATATTATATACCAACAACATTTTAATATTATTTTATTATATAAATAATAATAAATCCAAAATATTTTATAATATCATCTAATTTAAAATGTATTATTGACAATTGTAAGAAAAATAGTACACTACATGATTTATAATACAAAAATTAACAAATAAAATAAAAGATTTGGTTATCAATATAGAAATTATTAGAATGCGTACCAATTTTCTTTAATTTTTTAGGTTTCTAGAATAAATTAGTGGAAGAGATTGTTAGTAGACAGAGAGAGATTTCAAATGGCCTCATTGTATGAATCATATCTTTAAATTAATATTACTAAATTTATGTTAAAGACCATCATGTTATAAAAATAAAAAATATAATTAGACCATTTATTCCTAGGTTGCATTAAGAAATACCTTTTATTTTTTTTGACAAGAAATACTTATTGTGTTATCTTTTATTTCTTTTTACAAGAAAAATATGATACTTGTTGATTATCTTCTTCTTCTTTTTTTGAAAAAAGAAGAAAATGTTGTACTACATTTTTTTTGCTTGTTGTATTACTTTTTTTTTTTTTTTACAAGAAAAATAAAAAAATGATGCTGCCAAAGTACATTTTATTTTTTTATGCCTTTTGTTTTATTTTTTTGCAAGAAATACTTGTTATATTACCTTGTATTTTTTTTACAAGAAAAAATAAAAAAATGTTGTATTATCTTTTTTATCTTTATCTTGAAAAGCCTTTTATTTTCTATTTTTTCTATTTTTTTACAACAGTATTTTCTGCCTTTGTTTATATTTTCGACAACAAATTGTATTTTTTTTACAAGAAAAATAAAAAAATGTTGTATTTTTTTTTTATCTTTATCTTGAAAGGCCTTTTATTTTATATTTTTTCTATTTTTTTACAACAGTATTTTTTGCCTTTGTTTATTTTTTTGACAACAAAAATTTTTTTGTTGTGCGCTAAGGGGTTCGAACTAAAAAAAAATTTTGTTGTGCGCTAAGGCTAAGGGGTTCGAACTCAAAAAAAAATTTGTTGTGCGCTAAGGGGTTTGAACTCAAAAAAATTTTGGTTGTGCGCTAAGGGGTTCAAACCCTAGACATCCAATTTTTGGTTGTGCGTTAAGGGGTTCAAACCCTAGAAGTCCACCGCAAAATCCGTGTTGTCAACCAACACGGCCTCATCGGTTCATGTGATTTTATTTGATTCTATAATAATATATATTCAAACATCTTGCTTTAATGATTTTTTGTGGGAATTGTCCCATATCGAATGATGAGTGTCGCTTGGTTCTCTATAAAGTTCTTTGTAATTGATACTCCAATGTGTGTGTAGAAAAGCAAGGGGGAAGACATGTGAGGTGAGTTACCACGTGTTGCTCCCGTGAGGCAGCCACGTGTTGCTCTCGTGAGGCGGACACGTGTTAACCCAAAAATTACATATTTTTTCGGTGAAACTTGCGATTCACTATTGGGAATTGCCCGGTTCTCTCTGGACACGGGCGATTCCCGGTTTTTTCGTGGAACCGGCTCGATAACATACGATTCCCGAGTAGAACCGGGGGAGTCCGGCTCGACTCGGCGAGTTTTCAAACACTGCTATAAATAAATTATGCCATCATTCTCTTCCATGTGTATTTTTAAGTTACAATATGCATCATAAATGTTACAAATGTTTGCATCGACCCACAAGGAGAGTTTATATCTAGACACGTTGTATTTGATGAAAATATATATCCTTATATTAACCACAATTTTTTGTTTGATAATGCTCAGGTTCAAGGGGAGTTGTCTACCTATGCAAAATGTTCAAAGTGTTATGAGCCTAACATACAGACTCCCTCATCTTCTGATTCATTACCTCCACATAAACTACCTATATGGGATGCCCTTGATGTATCTAGTCCCTCAAGTCTAGCTTTGCCCGTTACCATTGATAACTCTCCGACTTCTTTTATAGAGGAAGATGTCACCACTGCAACACCAATCCAAGATGTTCTGGATGATGTAACACACAGTCATGGTGCTAAAAATATTATTACTCAATAAACAATTCAACCTAATCTTTTACCAGCCTATGAGCATTCTCGTCATCATATGGTCACAAGATCTCAAGATGGTACTTGAAGATGTCGTATTCTCCCATCCATGGCAGCAATCTCAACTGCTTCTGGTTTTGAAGTTATCCCTTCTAAACCTAAAACCATTAAGTCTGTCTTGGGTTATCCGGGTTGGCATCGTACAATGGAAGAAGAAATGGAAGCCCTGCATGTTAACTCAACTTGGAAGCTAGTTCCATGCGTTCCATATATGAATATTGTTGGTTGTCGTTGGGTCTATAAGACTAAATTAAAGTCTGATGGTAGTCTCGAGAGACTTTCAATGGCCAAATTAGTTGCTAAGGGATACAAATCAAGTTGTTGGAATTGATTTTTCCGAAATATTCAGTCATGTTATTAAGCATGTTAGAATTCATATTATACTCACCATAGCTAGTGTGCGTCACTAACCCATCAAACAACTTGATGTGAAAAATGCTTTCCTGCATGGTTTTCTTAAGGAACATGTATTTATAGTATAAAATGTTGGGTGTGTTTGCAGTCACATACGAGGGCCAGATGGATTTTGATAATGATATGACAACCAAGCTTCATACGAGGCTTAATGAAATACCTCATGTGATGCAAATATATGATATGATCAAAATCTATCATTTGAAAGGCTTGATATGCCTAAGGGAATTTTGACTCATCGATTAGTCTTTAAAAGTCCTAACCCACGATTGATAGTGCCAAAAGCCCGTCATCTAGACATATTCAAGGTTGACACAAATGGTGAAGCCATCTCTTTTTGAGACAGGTTCTAGGATACATATACTCCTAAAGCTTTATGTATGCCTATCCATGTGATATGTGGAGGAATAGATACGGTTTAATGTTGGCATCCATCATTGGTTATGCACATAAGCTATAAGTTGCGATCAATAATGAGAGATCATGAAGATGTTTCTATTTGAGACAGAGTTCCAGAATGTACATATTCCCTGGTACATAAATGGCTTTCCATTGGATACTGGAGGAGTTATGGGAGAGATGTGATGTGACTCTTTAAAAAGATCCATTGTCTGTTGAAATAATGGGGCTTTGACTGATGGAGCATAAAGGAAACTTCGTCATAATATGTTGAGGTGAATTCCTAAATATATTAAGGCCTCATGTGCCTTAAGGTCCAAGGTGATATGACTTGGGCGATGTTTAGACGTGGCTTAACCTATATCCGTATCCACCATCAGTTCGGATATGCCTTAATTGACACCCCAAAGCTCAATGCCTTCGGGACCAAATTGAGACTTTCAAGAAACCATGTCGGAATGCTATAACTTTTTTTCTTTAAGTTTCGTATTGGTCGAAGGTTGGATAGCTCGAGGGGTGGAGCTTCAAAGCCACATGTCTCGTGCGTTCCAAGCATGACAATATTCGACTTATGATATTGTAATTTCTCATTTACTGTGAGGAATTTTCCAAGAAATCAAGACCGTTGGATACTCGATCCAATCACCCTTAAAAGGTGTGGAAATATTCTACGAAGAAGAATAAAAAATATTCAGCGGGGCAAATAGAAAGGTAAATCGACGAGTAATAAAAAAGGAGGATATATCCTAGTTTTTCTCTTTAGACAACTCAACTAATCTGCAAGATTGCATATTTAAAAATTAAAAAGAAAGATTGTTGGCCACATCAGATGGGCGTGAATTTAAATTCGCGAATGGTTAAGGGTTGACCATATAGGATAAGCACAAATTCAAAGTTTGCTTGTGAATGAGATTGGGGTTGAGAGATTTACCAGCGGTTTTAAAACTCGCATGAAGCCTTGAGTTCAAAATTCAAATCCATGAAATTCGTTCATTTGAACTAGAAGATTAGCTCACAAATTCTCATTCACATAGAAGATAAGGACAAAGCAAGGATCCAACGTGAAGGTGAGGAAGAGGATAAACATCAACAAGAAATCAACGATGGAGATGATATTTTGTGGTTTTCAAATAAAGATTGAATATTAGCACCTAAAAAAGGTTATAAAAGCTAGGTGAATAGATGAGAACAAGGCTCACATATTTTTCCTAAAGATAGGTTCTCTTTGAGAGAATATATCTCATAGGTTGATCAAGTACTGAGATAAAGTGAGGAAAGAGAGAAGAAAGAGAAAAGAGAAAAGAGAAAAGAGAAAAGAGAAAGAAATCGATTACATGATCTGAGATTGCCGCTTGAGGCCCATTTTCTGATAGGGAAAACGATGTAGGATTAACATCCCTACTATAGATCAGGTATATGGGCTGATATCCCATCCGATGTTATCTCCTTTTATATGTTTGTACATCTTATTTTATAAAAACCAATGTATAGGTCTTAAGGCTATAATCAAGAGTAGTTGGCCTTATTTAGCTTTTATCGTTTTATTTGGTCAATGTAAATTGTAACAGGGAATTAAACTCCTGGAACTATTCCGTTCCTAGTATATAATATAAAAAACCTGTATTTTCTATGATATGGAATGCATGGGTGAATTTGGCCTTGAATGTGTTGTCATCTGGTAAAGCATTTAATTGGAGTCTCAACACGTGTTTTAATTATTTTGTCTTTTTAAAACATCGAATACCCCTTTTCTATACAGCAATTGACATTTCAGAGCATCCAAAACCTCATGGATTTGAGAGCTCAAAATATCCAAATCATATTTGTAAATTAAGACGAGCTTTATATGGTTTCAAGCAAGCGCCATGAGCCTCGTTTGATCGATTTGGTGCTTATTTATTATTATTGGGGTTTTATCGCAATATAATTGATTTATCTGTATTTGTTTCTCGCACTACTCAAGGCACTATTATCCTTCCCCTTTATGTTGATTGTCCAACTTAGAAGACGATTTGCAATGAAAGATCTTGGACTTCTTCACTACTTTCTCGGTATCAAGGTATCTTATTTTTCAGGTAGAATTTTTCTCTCACAAAGCAAATATGCCCGGGATCTTTTTTATTGTGCTCAGATGCTTGGTGCCAAACCTATTTCAATACCAATGGCAATAAAGAATAATATTCGTGAGAATTCTGATCTATTTCGTGATCCATCTCTTTATCTGAGCATTGTTGGTGTCCTCCAATACAATACCATAACACGGCCTTTATGCATGCCCCTACAATTACATACTTTCAAGCAATTAAGCGCATTCTTCGTTTTCTCAATGGTACACAGTCTTGTGGTATAATAATATTATCTGCCAATTCCCTTGAATTACATGCGTTCTCTAAGGCAAATTGGGCTGGGTGTCCAAACACTCGCCGTTCAACCACTGATTTATGCACCTATATTGGTTCACCAAGCCTTTGTCACAATATATTTTTTGAGATCTTTGCTTCAAACTCGAGCTTCAAATGCCTCCTAAGCTGAGTTTGAGGGGGAGTGATAGAAATAAAATTTAAATAAGATAGGACAGTGTATTGCTATAAGATAGGAAAGTGTATTGCCTTTTCCTTTTGAGAGGATAATGAAACAATATAGGACAATGTATATTGCTTATAACAAGATAGACAAATGTGGATTATACCATTGTATAGACAATGAATAGAACCACTACAAATTAGTGTGAGGCACAATTATCTTTTCAAAAGTTCATTTCTTTATCTAAAATTCTTCAAGGAAGAGATAAAGAGAGAGAGAGGATGTGAAAGAGGGGGAGGCAAGAGAGCGGGGGAATAAGAGAGAGAAAGAGTCAATAAGGGTGTGAGAGCGAGTGTGCTTTAGAGAGAGTTTGTGTGATATAAAGAGATGGCACATTAGTGTGCATGTTAGAGAGAGAGAGAGAGAGAGAGAGAGGGGTGGGGGGGGCAGAGAGGGAGGATGTGAAGTCAATAAGGGTGTGAGAGAGTGTGTGTTAAATGTAAAATTTTATGTTTCAGAAAATTAGTTTATATTACCAAAATTAGAGCACCAATTTAAAAAATTCCTAAGTTTTTTAAATTCTAATTTACTAATGTCTTATTTTATTATTGGATTGTGAATGTTTATGGCTTTGAATTGTAATAATGGCCTATTTCTCCCTTTTTAAGGCTTTAAAACTACAAAACATCTATGTTGCTCACTCTATGTATGCCATTTTATTCGTGATGTTGTTTATTGATTGCTATATTTGTAGAAAAGACAATATCATTTACTTAAATTATTCAAAATTTTAACTTACATGCTAACTTTGCTACAAATATGTTTGAGATTCCAGATCTTCTATAGTTTTGAATTTTGAACTTCAAATGCTTCTTAATTATGTCCGTCTAATAATTGTTTTATTATAGGAATTATTAATAGAAATTTATTTATTTGAAAATACGATGAATTACCAAATTTTCGCATAAAGAAATTTTAAATACTTCACAAAAAAATTATAGGTTCTTACTTTTTGGACTATTATAATGTAATTGCTCGCCCCAGGCTGGGGGCGACATTCGTGACGGCCGGCCCTTTGCCATCCTTAATGGGAAGCACATTCTCTGGATATTTCCACAAAGCTTCGGGGCATTTCTGTCAGTTTTCTAAAATCAAAACCCCAGCACATCTGACAAACAAATTTGAGCGTCTCTTCCGCAAGTCTCTCTCTCATCACTCTCATGTCCCCATGAGGGTTTTACCAGGGTTTTGACACTACTGCACTTTGTTTCTCTCTTTAAAGCCCTAATTAAAGCAAAAACCCAAATCCTACCTTCTACGATTTATTCGGCTTTTCCAGTATTTGATCAAACTGGAGATACCCAAATCATTAAAGCTGGGGAAACTCAGTTTCAGCAATCCAAAGGTTTGGATTGTTATAGGAATAGGAGTTGCAGGTATTGTCATATTGAGCAAGAGAAGGAGAAAGAATGTAGTGAAAGAAGATTTTGGGGCTTTTATCGAACGTTTTGAGCTTCTTCCTTCTCTTCAGCCGCCACCTCCTGCTGCTCGCCACCTACTTTCTGATCTTAGTTTTGCAGTTAAAGACATGTAAGATTGAATATGATGGGCTTTTCTCTCTCTAATTTGATTTGTGAATTCATTCGTATCAAAAATTTATTTTATTTTTATTTAGCAAAAAAAGGTAATGTGTTTTTTAGATATATTATTGGATGTGGGTTGTGCCTTGAAAATTGTGCTTGAATACTAGTGTGCATAAAAAACATTTAATTCATTCTGTGGTATATTTTGTATGTGGTAATGGAGAGGAATTGCAGTTTCGATATTGAATAGTGCGTAATGCAATATTCATATGTTTATTTTTGATCTTGGAAGGTTTGTTTGTGTGTTATAGGTAGGACATTGTACTATCAATATCAAATGTGGAATAATAAAAAAATTAATATTTTAACTTATTATTTGGTAATTTTTGCTTGTGGGTTATGGGTATAAATTCACATTTTCAATATGTAATCGTGCATAAAACAAAATTTTAGTTATTTGATTACGTCCTTTTTGATAATTTTGATCATGGGTTATTGTTGCATATATATTGACCGCTACTGAGCTCACATTTTAATATTTTAACATAATTTTTAGTAATTTTTGTGTATGGATGGTGGCGCTCATGGCAGTTTCTATATTGAAGAGCACATAACATAAAATTTTGTGGTTCTATTGGATTCTTGCTTATATTTTTTTCATGTGGATTGTTGGTTCAAATTTTGCAGTTTTGATGTCGAAGGGTATATTACAGGGTTTGGAAATCCTGACTGGAAAGGTAGTCATGAAGCAGCTGTTCGAACAGCTGTGGCTGTCTCATGCCTTTTGAAGAAGGGGGCTACTTGTGTTGGGAAGACTATCATGGATGAGTTGTGTCTCAGGTTAGTCATCTTTTCCTGTAATTTTACATTTTGTTAGTCTGTTTAATCCATGTTGATTTATTTATGATCAATGGAGTGATTGGGATTATATTGATGGACAGTTTTTTGGGGTGTTCTTTTCATCTAAATTAAAGTAATAATCAGCATAGTTTAGATGGGTGGTTTTTTTGGGATTTCCTCTGCATCCTGATCAAAGTAGTGATCAGGATTTTATGAGACTTCTCTACCAACTTGTCCCAAAAGGTTTTCAAGGCGCACTAGGAGTAATGAGATAATTAAATCTTATTAGGTGCTTGGGCATTGAAGGCTGAGGCTGTATTCATCTTGTCACACACCTGATACTACTTTAGTGATCTAGCTATAAAAGATAGAGTTCTCAAAGGTGACGATATCTGAAATGAATAATGAATGCTTCCCTTGCATGGTTAATGATGAACCCTTCGCTACCAAGTGAGCACCATTCAATACAAAACTGGTCTCAGTTTGTAGAATCATAGAGAATCTAATCAGGCTTTGCTACTTAGAGAGTCACTCTTTGATTCTCTCATTGTTCTTGATTTGAAGCATATTATAGGATGAGAAAATCCTATGGTCCTTGAACTTGTGAACTCTTATTGAGATCAAAAGGCTCAGATTGACCCACTTTAGCCTATGTTGCTCAAAAGAAGATGTCAGCCATTAAAGAAAAAACTGTAATAAGAGAATGATGTGAATTTCCAGTATTGTTGAATGGCACTTGAATTATCTATATTCTTCCTTGTGATTTGTTTGATCTTTGCATTGAGTTGAGTATTGCGAGTGGCTTTTCCATTGGAGGTCTAGTGTGTCAACATAATGTAAATCCTGGTATATAAATTTCTAAAGGGAAATTTATCAAGATACCTATAAGATATGAACTATTCAACAATTACCCTTTTGGAACTACTGGAACTCAAGACCATGTGTTTCTTTATGGGTATTTTGAAATTACATAAAAAGATATGGGTAAAATGAGATGAACTATTCATCAATTTACCCATTTAGAACTATTGCAACTCAAGACCATGTGTTTCTTTATGGGTATTTTGAAATTAAATTAAAAGATATGGGTAAAATGTTAAATTGTTGATCTATTATTTGTAATTTGATAAATTTCCCATTATTTATTCATGCACTGTGATTGAATGGGTGTTAAATAAATTATATCCAGATCACCAGGGTAAATATGCTTTATGGAATAATGATGTTTTCACCATGGAGAGAAATTTTGGAAGCTCTGATTTAAAGTTCAAAAAAGGGGTTGGACATGGAACTCCTTGTTGTAAAAAGCACTTGGGTTATGATAGGGTAGGTCCTATGTTTGGGCTATCAGGAATGTGGAAAAGCTTTTTTAGTTGGTTATTTGAGCTTATTTCATATATTCCTTTTCTTTATTTTGTGTTGGGATTTGCTTCCCGTCTTGGTTTGATGATTCCTACTATTACTTCATCTGGGTACCTATATGACTTTGACACTGTGTGTGCATGCATATGCTCAAAGAGAGTATATGCATACATAGCAAGCTAGTTGCACTGATTTTTACGCATTCTATTTAATGAGATTGCAGCATCACAGGTGAAAACCGACATTATGGAACACCCACCAACCCTGATGAGCCATCACGAATGCCTGGGGGATCTTCAAGTGGTTCTGCTGCGGCTGTTGCTGCTGAACTTGTTGACTTTTCTCTTGGTATATTTTGAGCTTCACTTTAGTGGGGAGATTATGCCATTTGATTTCCCTAATTTGTCGTGTTCAATATTATTTAGCTCCATTTTTTAAACATTCTTGCATCAACCGAACTCTTAGACTGGGGTCATGTAATAGATGAACAGATGGGTATAGACTTGGGTATACAAGAAAGGATAATAATGGAAATGATGTAGGCATAATAGTAGACAAAGACTTAAAAGATAAAGTAGCTAATGTCAAGAGAATAGGTGATAGTCTCCTATTAATTAAACTTGTATTACGGGAGGAGATAGTTAACGCAATTATCTCTTAATTCTATCCTCTAATCCTACTTGTGGTGCATAACACTTTTTTTTTATTTTTTATTTTTTATTTTATTTTATAAAAAAAAAATGTGTTTTGCACCACAAGTAGGATTAGAGGATAGAATTAAGAGATAATTTTGGGAGGACATGGATGAAATAGTCCAAGAGATACCAAATGGAGAGATGACCTTTTTAGTAGGGGACCTAATGGTCATGTAGGGAAGGATAGTAGAGGATATGAAGGGGTACATGGGGGATATGGGTTTGGGGAAGGAGATGAGATGGATGAGACTATCTTAGATTTTGCTATGGCCTACGACATAGCAATAGCAAACACTTACTTTAAAAAGTGAGATTAACATTTAATAACTTATAAAAATGGATCACATAAAAGCATGATAGATTTCTTCTTTGTTAAGAAGGTAGATCAACCATCATGTAAACATTGCAAGGTTTTCCTAGGAGAGAGTTTGATTGCCCAACATACGCTCGTAGTTATGGACATCATGTATAAAGACATGGAAGAGAAGGGGTGAAATTAATAGGTATCCAAGAATTAGGTTGTGGATTTAAAAAAAAAGAGAAAATAGACTTCTTTAAGGATAAATGTGTTAAAGAAGGAAAATGAGACTCTGAACATGATCCCATTGTTGTGTGGAATGAGATGGTGGTTGTATTAAGAAAGTGGCAAAAGAAGTTTTAGGAAAATCGAGAGAGAAAAGAAATTCCGATAAAGAAATTTGGTGGTGGGGTGATGAGGTTCAAAATGCCATTAACAAAAAACGATCATGTTATGAAATTTGGCAGTGTAATAAAAATGATCAAAATACAGTTAACAATTTCAAAAAAAATAAAATAAATAGAAATGACCAAAACTTAGAAGAATATAAAAGTGCTGAGAAAGATACTAAACAAATAATAAGTAAGGCTAAACTTAAGACATATGATAATTTATACAGTAAACTGGGAATAAGAAAAGGTGAAAAGGATATCCTCAAATAAGCAAAAATGAGAGAGAGAAAATATATGAATCTAAACTGTACTAAATGCATTAAGAGTGAGGATCAACGGCTCATGGTGAAGGAAGAAGAGGTCAAAGAAAGGTGAAGAGTTTATTTTTAAAAATTATTAAATGATGAACACAATGAGAACATTGCGGTAGAAGGAGTTAGCATAAATGAGGGCAGAGGTCATAGATAATACATTTGTAGGATTAGGATATCGGAAGTAAAAGAAGCTTTGAAAAGGATTAAGATAAGAAAGGCTTTAGGACCAGATGGTATCCCGATAGAGGTTTGGAAGTGCATGGGGGAGATTGGCATTGACTGGTTGAGCAAGCGGTTCAATAACGTGTTGAGAACAAAGAAAATGACAGGCAAATGGAGCAAAAGTACTTTGGTACCTATTTAAAAGAAAAAATGATACACAGAGAATTGTGTGAACTGTCGAGGGATTAAACTTATGAGCCACACTATGAAGCTTTAGGAGAGAGTGATTGAGCAACGACCAAGGCATGCAACAAGTGTATCAGAAAACCAATTTGGTTTTATTCCAGGAAGGTCAACAACCGAGGCTATTTTTCTACTTAGGCAATTGATTGAGAAGTTTAGGGTGAAGGGAAAAGATCTCCACATGATCTTTATTGATTTACAGAAAGCTTATGATAGACTACCTTGAGATTTGATTTGGTGGGTGTTGGAAAAGAAAAGAGTCTCCAAACACTACATCGACTTGGTGAGAGATATGCACGATGGGGCACTAACTAGTGTACTAATACTAACAAGGAGTAGAGAGACGAGTGAGTTTTTACTGACAATAGATTTACATCAGGGGCAAGCATTGGGCCCATAACTCTTTGTCTTAGTTATGGACGGCTTAACTAGACACCTACAAGATGAGGTACCGTGGTGCATGTTGTTTGTAGATGACAGTTTTGATCGATGAGACCCGAAACAACGTCAATACAAAGTTAAAACTTTGGAGGGATGCTCTAGAATCTAAAGGTTTTAAAATTAGCCGGACAAAGACAGAGTATAAGAAATGCAAGTTTAATAATAATAGGAGTAGAGATGAGGCGAACTAGTACGTTATATGTGGTGTTTAATTTTTCTCGTTTTTACTGACCGGAATACTTACAAAGGTCCAATTACAATTAAATAAACTCAAAATAAACAAAAAACAATTAGAGAAAAGGTTGTCACTTGATGCCACTAATAAAACTTCTTTTATTCAATAAACAAAAATCAAATAATACTCATGGGAACAAAAATGAAGAAGATTGCAAATCATAAAACAAGATGCCAGAAGATTACCTCAACTGGACTTTGCACACCTCACTCCGGGTCTCCTCCTATGGCTGTGCTTCACGAGGGGGGGCTTGCATGAGAGACTTATTGAGCATCGCCCTTCTCATCCTTGAAGCAATGCATCTTAAGCTACAAGAGATGCGTATGCTGAATGAAAGCATAAAAATATGTGTGCAAGGCATATCTTGTTTTGTTCTATGAATGACTCATACGTGTCGGTGTATGAGCCATTAAGAACTGCTTAGGCATGCACGAGCGGCTTGAGAAGGAATATGCAGATTGCAGATCCTCCTCTAATGGGAAAATCAATGGCTATTAAGAAGTATAACGATCTGAAAATAGTTGAAGGTAGAAAGATATCAGAACACGTGCATACTTTAAGGGCACTTGTTTGAGAGATGGAGGCGATTGAGATGTGGCCCTTGAAACCCATGCAAGTGGTTCACATGTTAAATACTCTCCCTGCTTCTTGGGAGGTATTCATCTCATCCCTTGCTACCCGAGAGATGGCTTCTAGGCTAGATGAGCTCATCACATTGCTCAAGGGCGAAGAGGAGAGGTAGAACGCTTGAAACACACTGGCACCAAGGGATATGGTGGACATGGTAAACTCTGAACCCTACTTTAAATCTAGCAAAGGAAAGGGTAAAATGAAAAATAAAAGAAGGGGAGAGGAAAAGAAAGAGAGAGAAAATAAGTTCTAGGGAAAGAGAGAAACCAAATCTTGCTACATATGCAAGGAGGGTGGGCCACATTTCCAAGGACTGTAGGTTCAATAAGAACCTTGAGGCTAATAGAGGACTTTGCGTGTGTAATATTCAAGACACTACTTGCCGACCTCAAGGGCATGTCTGGGTGTCTTAACTCAGGAGCTACGATTCACATGTCAAACATCAAGGGTGGCTTCTGCACTTTTACATCCGTGGGGCCGGGCGAGCAGCACATCTACATGGGGCGGCAGTAAAAAATCGATGTTCTTGGTGTTTGTGATCATGCTCTTGAGATGAAGAATGGAAAGGTCTTGGTCTTAAAGCGAGCACTCTATGCTCTTGACATGAGGAAGTGCTTGGTTTTGGTCTCAATAATGCTAAAGCCGGGTTTATCACCACCTTCTCTGGCGATTGTCAAAAACCATGATGAGATTGTTAGGATCGGTCTTCTTGTAGGCAGTCTTTATTCGATTGAAATAAAAGAGGTAGTTGCTTATGTCTCGTCTTCGAATGATGTGGATGCTTTGTTATGGCATATGCAACTAAGGCACATAGGTTTTAAGAGAATGAAAAGACTAAGAAAAGATGGAATTCTGAAAAATTATAAAGGCAATCTATCAAAGGGGTGTGAGTCATGTGTGCAAAGAAATTAACAAGGAAAAATTCCACCAAGGCTTAAAGAGCTTCTAGCGTATTAGAAATCATTCATAGCGATATTTGCGGTCCAATGAATGTGGCTACCAAAAGCCGCAAAAGAAACTTCATCACCTTTTTGATTACCACTTGCGATATGACCATATATACTTGATGCACACAAAATTCGAAGCCTTAGAAAAATTCAAAGAATAAAAAGCTGAGGTTGAGAACCAAACAAATCTGAAAATCAAGGTCTTAAGAACCGATAGCGGTGGTGAGTACTCCTCACAACTCTTTAGTGACTTGTGTGTGGAGCATGGTATTATTCACCAATACACCATGCCTTACACACTCGAGCAAAATGGAGTTGGAATAGGACCTTGGTAGAAATGGTGAGGAGCACGATGAGACATGCAAAGCTCTCCCTAGATTTTTTGGGAGAAGCAATATTGGCGGCATACTACTATATCCTGAGCCGGATTCCCACCACGGCTGCTTCTCTTACTCCTTACGAGATATTCACTAATCATACACCGTTCCTTGATTGCCTAAGAGTGTGCGGTTGTTCTGCCCATGTCTTAATCCCTTACCAAAATAGGACAAAACTAGATCCCAAGACTATGAAGTCTATATTCATCAGCTACCCCTTACCTTAAAAATGGGACGGTTAATGGTATGCTAATTGTTAGTAGCTCAATAGTCCTCGTGTCGAAAACAAAGAAATTCCTTGCACAACACTTTGATATAAATGATTTAAGTGAAGCTTCATATGTGTTGGACATCAAAATTATAAGGAATAGAAAAGAGCGAACCATTCAAGAACCATTCAACTTTCTTTGGCAGCCTACTGCAAAAGGGTATTGGAAAAGTTTGAAATGGATTAGTGTAAGCCCATTTCTATGCCTATCAATAAGAAGACAAAGCTAAGCAATCAAATGTGCCATGAGGACGACGACGAAAAAAGGAAAGCCATGGAAAGAATACCCTATAGAAGTGCGATAGGGTCCCTTATGTATGCCATGTCAGGAACAAGGCCAGCCTTGTCCTTTGCCATGAGCATGATTAGCTGATTCCAATGCAATCCTAGGATTGACCATTGAAGGGCGGTTAAGAGCGTTCTGAGATACTTAAAAAGGATTTAAGAATTATGCGCTTACATATCGAGAAGGATAAAAAATCGCTATCCAAGGATATTCCGATGCGAGTTATTAGGGAGATCCAGATGATGCGAAGTCCACATATAGATATGTGTTTATACTTGGAGGAGGGGCTGTTTCTTGGAAGTGGAAGAAATAGGATGTGGTAGCGTTATCCACCATGGAGTCAGAGTATGTGGCATGTTGTATGGCAGTCAAGGAGGCTGTATGTATTAAGAAGTTTCTTAATTGGCTTGAGTTTGCGCACGTAGACTGTGAGTGCGTAAGAATCTTCTGCGACAACATGGCTGCGATATGTGTGTCCAAAGAGCCACGATTCCATACAAATTCCAGGCATATAGATCCCTGCTTTTCTCATCAGTACAATGAGGTGTAGTGTGGAGAGATCGAGATCACATACCAATGTTTTAAAATGCGGGATGCGGCCAAAAGCGTTGGGCGGGCCGATGCGGCGATACGGCTAGATGCGGTCCGGATGCCGGTGCATCGTGGCAATGTGGTTCATAAATATAAAAAAATTATAAAAAATTAAAAAAATTGGTTAATGCATAAAAAATATATGGAGGTGATATATGTGATAGTAGATATTTAGATTATTCATTAACTCAAAAAGTATTAGCTGTTGAAGATTTTGTATCCACTATACCCTGATAGAAACTAGAAACTAGCCTCATAAAACATTCAACAATCACAACCGTAAAGCACAAATCTGCAACCAAAAACTTTAAAGTTACAAATTTTATAAACTCTTTAATCTTGAAAAGAGTCCATGAAGTCTATGTAGTTCTTCGACTCGATTTGTAAACTTTTATAAATTCTATATATTTATAAAAATGTTATAACTTTACGATATCAGAGCATTTATGAAGATCAATAAGTTTTATAAACTCATTAATTTGTAACTTTACTGTATTAGTCTATGAAACTCCTTAAAGTTACAAATTTTATTTGAAAAGTACTGGGAAAAGTTCTTCGATTTGTAACTTATTAATCTTCATGGACTTTTAGTTTGTAGTATCTTGTATTACAAATTGAAGAACTTCAACAAATTAAATTTCCTCCCATTTTTTTTTTTTGATTCAATCGATCTAATAAAAGCCATGGATGTGGTTGAAAAATGCTGTTTAGGTGGTTTAATACCCCCCCAAACCCTTCCCCCCATTTTCAAAGGTCAAAATGACCTTATTGCCCTTACCCAAGGGGTATAGTTTTGAAAAAAATAGCGGACAGATTATGCGGTCGATGTGGGATGCAGCTCTGATGCGGTCGCATCTCTCCAAATCGCATATGTGGGAAAGTGCGATGCGCTGAGTGGTGCATAGCGCTTGATGCGGCTGCATTTTAAAAAACTGTCACATACATACCTACAGAGGTAATGGTTGGAGACTCGCTTACAAAGGGGTTAGTTGCAGGTGTTTTTATAAAACATGTAAAAGAGATGGGGCTGAGAGAGAGTGAGGAAGAGATATTGTAATTCCTTCAAAGGTCAAGTGGGAGATGTTAGGCATTTGTGGCTATTAAAGGCCTTATGAGAGCATGTAATGAATATTTTGACAATGGAACAAAAACTCAGTAGAAGTATGATCCAATTGGACCAAGATAGGCAAATGTTATTTGCCGATACTTAGACTAGGTTCAAGTGCTAGGCCACTCGAGTTGGAAAGCCCTTAATTACTTGGGTATAATGCACAATCGAGGAGGGTTAGCAGGGTTATCTCTTGATAAGGTCGCAGTTGCCCAGGGTAGTGAGCCAAGGGACTCTGTGACCCTTGTGTGTGATGGTAGGCCTGTAGAGACGAGGGCTAAAGCCTCATCACTGAACCATTACATGACATGTGCATATGATAATCGTATTGAGAAAGAGAGTAACCATTGACGGTGATATGGGTACCTGTGCGAGAGATGGCCCCTATGCACCATAGAGTTGTGGTTGCATCAGGTCTGTGTGACCTTGAACTTGTCTCTAGGGGAGAACCTGTAATCTATAGACTAGGATTGTGTTCCCTCACCAATTGGTTGAATTTGGTAGGCCAATCATGAACCCCTGCGATGGACTGTGGGTCGTGGGAACTACTGAGTCAGTTTGAGAAAGTGTGTTAATTATAGTTTGCAGTAGAAGATCAAGTGCTTCAGCAAATTTATAATTCCTTGAGCTAGTTGGATCCGGATCCCATCAAAATTATTTAGAATTAATTATTTTGATGCTAAATGAGTCTTAGATTGATAGTTTTAATTTTTAGAGGTCTCTGGATATTTTATTTTCTCATAATGGATTTATAAATATAGAGAAATTGAATTTTCAGTATTTTAAATATTCAGAGAGAAAAATACAATAATAAATCTTTTCTAAAAATCATTTTACTATTTTTAGAATTTCATATAATATATGGGGGCCCACCATAATTGAATTTGATGGTGCGTGGGGCTCACGAGAGACTTCGTATGTGGCACACCCCACTTAGCGGGGTTTCTTTCCTTTTTGTGGAAAGGCCATCTAAGGCACTTAATGTAAATGAAACATTATGGAAAGTTTTGTAATTTAAGAAGTTTGAAATTTCAAAGAAAGCATGTATAAGAGATTTATACAAGAGATAGGAAAGTATGATATATTTTTTATATTTATTTTATTGGATGGGATTAGGTTAATTAAGCTGAAGGATAATATTCTTGCACCTTTCTTTTAATCATGATGGCCGATCTAAGAATTGTATGGCTAAGATCTCTCACCCCACATGTCACCTATGATCAATGGTCTGGATCTATAATCTCCATAAAGATGGCTAATCTTAAGAAACCCTAACCCTAGAGAACATCTATAAATAGGGGGTCATTCTCTACACCTCTCTCTATATCTCTCTCCCTCTCTAGGTGGCATGCCATGCTCTCTGATCTCTCTCTAAGCTCTCTTATCTCTCTCCATTATAAAATATTAGAAAGGAAAAGGGGGGCACGCCCCACCTAGATATAAGAGAGGGGCATGCCCTACATAGGTAGGCATTGAGGCCTAGCCTAATCATGCAGCTTGTTGCACCATAGCTCTCTAATTTGAAGGGTTGTAGCCTAAAGTTTCCCATACTTCAAAGATTTGAGATAGACCATTGATCCTGTGCTCGATCCTGTGCGCCATTGGAGGAGGAGACTCGAAATGGGGTGTGTAAAGTCCAGTTGAGGTAATCTTTGGGCATCTCTCTATGGTTTGAAGTCTTATCTTTTTCTTGTTCCTATGAGTATTATATGATTTTTGTTTATTGAATAAAAGAAGTTTTATTAGTGGCAGCTAATGAGAACCTCTTTTGTCATTTTGTTTTAGTTTATTTTAAGGTTATTTATTTGTAATTGGACCTTTGTAAGTGTTCTAGTTGATATAAAAGAGAAAAATTAAAAATGGCCGTGCTAGTTCACCTTGTCCAACTTTCATTTTGGAGGGATGCGCTTGAGTCTAGAGGTTTTAAAATTAGCCGCACTAAGATAAAGTATATGGAATGCATGTTTCGTAATAATAGGAGTAGAGATGAGGAAGTAGTTAAAGATTGATGACCAGAAAATACCAAAAAGAGTGCACTTTCGATATCTTAGGTCGATAATCCAAGAAAGTGGAGATATTGGGGAAGATGTCACACAAAAAATTAGAGCTGGATGGGCGAAGTAGAGATGTGCAATCAGAAGTTTATGTAACCGCATACCAATGAAGCTGAAAGGCAAGTTGTATCGGACAGTTGTGAGACTAGCTTTGCTCTATGGGATGGAATGTTGGGCAATCAAAAAATAATATACCTATAGAGTGAGTGTAGTAGAGATGAGGATGTTGAGTTGAATAAATGGTAAGGCAAGAAGGGATAAAATTCGAAATGAATACATTTGGAAAAATTTAGGTGTGTCACCAATAGGCAATGAGAAGAGAGTAGACTTAGGTGGGCTGGTCATGTGTGACGCAAACCCAGTACAACACTTATTAGGAGGTGCAAGTTAGTTCAAGTGGAAGGCTCAAGAAGGGCAAGGGTAGGCCTAAAAGGGTATGGTTAGAAGTAATGAGAAAAGATATGGGCACTTATGACCTCACTGAGGGGATCCTTAATTAAGCAAAATGGCGAACCAGGTTTCTTGTAGCCAACCCCAAATAGTTGGGAAAAGGCTTTGACGATGATAGTGAAGGAAAAGATCTCGAGCTTGACATAAAAATAACTCTCAACCATTTGTTTTCTACTTTTGGCTACAATTTTATTGATGGTTTGTAGCATTGAGTGAAAAAAATTGATTGACCGTAGTTGCTCTGTTGGATTTGTAAATGGTTTCCATCAGTGATATTTTTCTATAATTCGGAGGGGATTAGCTTTTACTTTATTTTCAAGCCTACATGTACTCGTGATTACCTTTTGATGCTGATTAGGTTTCTTTTTTTTTTTTCCTGTGACAGGTACTGACACAATTGGATGTGTGAGACTGCCAGCAGCTTTTTGTGGTCTACTCGGTTTCCGCTCCTCTCATGGGGCTGTCTCCACTATTGGTGTTGTGCCCATCTCTCAAAGTTTAGATACTGTTGGTATGGTTTTATAAACATTTCCATCTATAATTTAGTATTTATTACTTATATATGAATTTGTGAGAATTTGCTTTTGTTCTTCGATTGTCAATAGTTTATTGTAAAAGGTGAGTTCTGTTTGCTGCCACATGCCAAGTCAGTATGTCTTTGGAGGTTTGCCAGTAGATTCGGCTATAGTTTTTTTATTACAGTTATTCTGACCCGTGTTAGAAATGACCCTTTGTCAGCAATAACAATATACTCAAAATGATTTCATGCACCTGCAAGAGGAAACAGTCTATTTGTTCCCTTGGTCAAAAACCAAGATAGGTTTATTTTTAGGACTCCAAATTTTTGGGATGTATCGGCTTCAACCAATTATTGGATGGTTAGATGTGCTTGAAAACTCAAAATCTATTTTTTTTTAAAATAAACATCTGGTGATTTTTATGCGAGATCCCCAAATTTCATTGTAAAAATAACCTACCTCCCAAGTACCCTTTTTGCCTGAGGGAGTAAGTGTACAACTCTCTCTCTCATGGGAGTAGAATATACGTGCTAAACAATAAAAGCTAAAGAAAAAAAATATTTTGTCGTTTCTGTAAATGACTGATATCTTTAGATGAAAAGATAAAAGTGCCATGCCATTTACTTAAAATGCTTCATTTTTTTTGTAATTTGTTAAAAAGTAGAATCTTATTAAAAATACATTTAGATATTAAAATTTTATTCAACTTATTGAATTTACATATCCCTACTCCCCCTCTATTGCCATTTAGGACAGTTGATAACCTCATCAGTTGGGGTTATGATAATCATTTAGACATAATATTACAGGGAAGATAGTGCATAGAAACCACTTCATACAAATGGGTGTGTGTGTGTGTGTGTGAGAGAGAGAGAGAGAGAGAAAGAGAGAGAGAGAGAGAGTTGCAAGCAGAGCAATTACATTAACCAACACCCCAGAAAGATGAAGAAACAACTACATGACCATCAAGAAATCAGCTCAAAATAAGAACTACTATCTAGAGTTACATCCTAATGAATCTTTTTTTTTTCTTGCTGCTAATGTCACACAGAACTTGGCTCTATTTTTTAATTCAATTATTCAATGTTATGCTATTATTTCTATAATTGAATCGCTTTTTTTTTTTTGATAACTTTAACTGTCATTAAAAAAGAAAAGTTCATGAGGTTGGTGTGGCGACCCTCACAAAAATGGGTGCCACCCAGGGCCAGGAAAAGGCCTATGCACAATCAAAAAATCCCCTATGACAACCCAAAGTTGGCTTGGCAAAAATTGGGCTTATAGGACACCCAGTTTACAAGGGAGCAGTGTGTATACAAAGTTGAGGGAGAGAGGAAAACAAAAGGAAGTAAAAAAAGTGGTTCTATTATTGAATTGCTTGTTTTCTACTTATTAGAAAGAGTATGCTAAAGCCTAAGTAGTAGTTTAATCATCTTATACAGTTAATCTATCTAATCTAGATAGTCAACTAGAATCATTGTGAGAAAAAGTTAACTATATTAACAATTTTAAAATTTTGCTTTTCCTTTTGTTAATGTTTGTTTCAAAATTAAATCTCCAAAATTCATATTAAATTTTTTAAAATTCCTAAAGCTTGGAATGGGCCGTCGTCCTCCCCTTCCTATTCCCCTCTGATGCGATCAGATCTACGCTCTCTACCCCAAAATCCACCCCCGCCTTCTAGACTTCAGCCCTCTTCTCCAGTAGTCCACCATTCTCTTTCTGAGGGAGCTGAGCAGCCTCTTGCGACTACTAAGCAACCACTTAAGGCCACCTTCTCCTAGGTAGTGGCCTCAACAAAAGCAACCTCCACTCCCCCCGCCTCTCCAAATCCCCCCGGGAGGAGTGGCACTATCTCTGCTCCTTCCCTCGTTCTCCCCTGCATAATCTCAACCCCATCAGAGGAGTCTAAACAGCTTAAACAAAAACTCTCTGCTTGCCTGGTGGCAAGATTTCAACCCAGGCGTGACGATGTTAGAGGAATTGAGAGATGGGCCAAACGCATTTGGGGGGAACCCAATCTCACTTGCAGACAAATTTCTAGTGGTGATTTCCTTTTCTCTTTCCCGTCCCTTGAATACACGTAGCGTGTATTATAGGAGCCTCTTTCCTCCGGCTTCAAAGTGGCCTCCTGCACCCCTCATGCTTGGTCCTCTGCGTAGAGCTCTTTTAGGAAGTAGAGAATTTGGCTCACTCTCGACCACATCCCCTTCCATGTGTGGTCCCCCTCCACTTTCAGGAGAGTGGCAGAAGTTTGCGGTAACCTAGTCTCTATCCATTGGAAATCTCTAGAGACTCTCCCTCTAGGCTCCGTTCATCTCCTTCTGGATGTGCTAGACACCAGCCGCATCCCCTCTACTGTTTCGCAGGAAGTCGACAGCCTTTTCTTTCAGGTAACCCAATCATGGTCGGTGGTTTCGCCTCCTCCTCCATACTTCTTCAATCAGGTGGAAAGAGTCTAACTCCCAGCTCTGGACCACAGTGTCGCGCAAACACCGCCACCCTAGGAGGCGCCGCCGGCAACCCCCCGCTGCTCCACTGAACCTCAGGGTGCGATGCCAGTACAAGGCATCCAAACCACCACGGTCTGCCATTTGACAGCCACGTCGTGATGTTTCGGTTCGGCCAAGAAATGGGAATGATGTCTTTAAGTCGATGTCGCAGGTCGTAGGTGTCCCTCACCTGACGAGATTTAGACCTGAAGTGGGCGGGTCAGACACCCTGCCTTCGCTTTCTTCTGATCGAGCTCCAACCCCCCTGCGTCGACCCGACAAAGAACTACTTGTGGACAGTGAGCGCACTTTGTTGACCTTGTCGTCGGGTCAACTTGACAGACCCGATCCACTTCGAGAATCCTTGCGAACTCTAGACCTGTCCTTTCACTGGACCCTATGCATCGGGCCCCTACCTCGAGCTCCCTGTCTGAGCACTCGATTCCCCCGCCCTTAGCATTAACTACTCTGATCTTCAGACCCACACGACTGCCACGTCTCACAGCGTGCCGCCCATTCCTGGCCACCTGTCGCCCTCGTCTTTATTACATCTGTCGTTGCCGTCTTCTTCTCCCGCTCCCATCCCTCTCCAGCCGTCGCCCTCACCTGTCCCCCCCTCTCCCCCCAACCGTCATTTCCTGAGGTGCCTCTACCCTTATCTATTTCCCCCAGCGATGACACGCAAACACATACCACACTTCAAGATCCTCCCCAATCCCACCACTCTACCTCTCCTTCTCCTTCTCCTTCTCGATTTGTTCTTTCGTTTTTGTTCTTTCGCTCATAGTGGGTGCTCCTCCTTCCCCCTTCCCCACGGCACCCTCCCAGCCTGCTTTGAACCCCCACCTCCCCGTTGTGAACACACCCCTCCCATCTGACCCTATACCGGAATACACCCTGCTGTACCCCAACTCCCTATCTTCTGCCCCGCCTCCCATCCTCTCTCTCACTTTCCTACCCCTCCATACTGCAGCGGAGGCTGTACTTGAACCCCAACCTCCCTCTCCTCTCTCTCTTCCTCCGCTTATGGACTGACCTCTGCTCCCCTTTGGTTTCGTAGTTGTACACTCCACTGACCCCTCCCCCCCAGATCTAGACTTCATCTCCTCGCTACTTGCCCCTCATCTGTCCTACACTCCCCACTTGGTCCATATCTGCAAAATCCGTACGCTCCACTTCAACTACGCCCTCCATTATCCTTGGCCTTACACGTCTTTCGTCCCACCTCAGTCTCACCACTTCCTTTCTTATTTCCCTTCTTCTGTCCACCCTGAATCCTAGTACCCTCTTAACCCGTTGCTCTTCATTACCCAACTTTTCTAAACCATGCTTCTTCCCTTCCCCATCCTTCTTGGCCCAGGGCATGTTGGATTCACCTCCTCCTCCTTCGCTGAGCCACTCCAAATTGTCACGCCTTGCCTTCCCTCTCCCTTTTTTCGCCTACCCCCTCCCCTCCCTCTGCCATCCT